TGTTGTATGAACTCACTCTAAATCTGCTTCTGAATTAATAAATTTATTATCATCCATCAAAAAACCTTACAGGTTTTTTTCTTTTTCTTCTTTAGTCAACCAAAATTGCATCAAGTAGAAGAATACAAAGATAAAACATAGACAAGATGATCATCTCCTTAGAAAATGCAAGCACTACCTACAAAAGCAAATAGGCAAGAGTTTAAAAGTAACATCAACCAAACAAGCCATGAGCAACACTCGTTACTGGAGGGGCAATCACTTAAGAGCTAGAGACTCTTTCAATGATAGGATCAAGAAGATTTAACCTGTCACCATTAATGATTAATCTCAAGAGGAACATGGACCTACTTACAGAATTTCAAGCAAAGCCTCAAAGATGTTAGAATGCATTGGATAAGACTTCTTAAAGAACTACTTGCAAAAAAAAGGATTGACTATCACATAAAGAGACTTATCTCCCAAATGTGAAAATGGAATCTCCTTATTCAATTCTATAATTGATAACCAATAGAGAACCCCATCCAGTTTCAATTAAAAAGAAAGGGGGGATCAAAGTGGATGTTTACCGCTTCATGATACTAAACAGAACAGAATGGACAACCCCGTAATGCTAACTGAAACAGGATTCAGCAGTTATCAAACAGACCCTAATATTGAACAGGGCTGCACAAATTACATATGAAGCATCAATAATCAAGAAGTATATTGCATGAAGCATATTAAGCATTATATCCCATCTAGAGGAAATTTTTCCTTCAAAGGAAAAGAACCACTTTTGGGAGAAAGGATTTAAAAAGTCGTTTCAAATTCACAATTTCAAAATACCTCTCTACTCGAAAGTTGCATTTCATTGCTTCTTTACATGATAGTTTTAACTCCTATGAAAACTTAAAACCACAGCAATTAATTTTAGGTAATCAAATAAAAATCTAGCTTAAGTCTCTAAACTTCAATAAAAAACTAATAAATATCATGCAGATATTATTTATGGACCATAAGGATTAAGGGAGCTGGGGAAATCTACTAAAGATCATCTCATTAGGCTTTCGCTTACCTCTTCTATAACCAAGAACTAGTATCAGATGAGTACTTAATAGTGCAGACACATTTTACAATTAGAATATGGAGAAATGGAACTTAGAAAGATATTGAAAAATCAGTTTCAGCATGAACCTCCCACAAGGGCCAACAGGCACCTATTCCAGAAATACTAATCCTAATTCATTTTGTCCGTTTGCCATAATTCTCATTTAAAACCTAGTTTTCCACACTATGAGGCTTTTCTTCATAGTTCATAGAATACTCTCACTGGTTATGTCACATAACAACCTAACAATAGACCACAGAAATATAATTTCCCAGGCCAAAATGTTGTCCCAAATTCAAGTACCAATCATCCCAATTCAGCTTCCCCCTTCATCCTTAGCTCCAGGGTGTTCATTATATGGTCCAGACCGCCAAACTAAACCAAACCAAACTGAAATTGGCGGTTTGGCATGGTCTGAACTTAGAAAGCCTGATTCAGTTTGGGATAATTCCAAATTTCAATTTACAGTTTCAGTTTGGTTTTCTGAATTTTATAAACCAAATGAAACTGTAAACCGAAATATATATTAATATATATATACAATCTAATAACTTTCTATGCTATCTTATATAATACAATATATTTATATAACTTATCAATATATATACATATATGGTTGACATTGTGAATGTAATTTATATGACAGTAATAGGTGGCACTTGTTAACATTTCAATCTGATGACTGATATGTGAATTATATTTGTTACTTACACACATATGTATGTTATTTGGGCTTTCTAATTGGGTTAAGCCCAATATAATGGCCCAAATCATATTAGAAACCAGACCAAACCATAATAAAACAGTTTGGTTTCTGTAATGAAACAATTCAGTTTGGTCTGACTGTCTGAGAATTTCTCAAACCATAATTTACTGATTTGGTCTGAGATCTTCTCCAAACCGAACCAAACCAGACCGTGAACTCCCCTACTTAGCTCTAATAGATTCAATCTTCCCTATTTTATCTAACTGTTCAAGCAAAACTCTTGCTGGTTACTTGCTATAACCTGAAGAAAGGCCATTAAACCCTATTTCATCACTGCCAACACCCAACAGCAGCATTATCTGCTAAAAAACCATTAACCCATGTATGTCAAATCTATTTGTTCTAAATTCCTAGGTTTCAGCCACCCAACATCAATCAATTGGGTTCCCTGGAAAAAATCAACCCACTAGTGAATGAAATATCCAAATCCAAGTGATAGTCTGCAGGGCATACACAATAAGACAACTTACAATCTGTCCATGGGGTCCTCCAAAAAGTGGAAGAGTAAAATTGAATTTTCATACTCTTTTAGCGATCCTGGGCAATGAGGAATTGGGGGAAGGGTGATAAGATATGAAAATGGAATCCTACCAATTAGATATTCAGACTGATCTTTTTGAGAAAGGGTAACATAAATTCAATACTCAAAAAGGGGTAAGCATACTCAGATCTATCTGGATTCAGTAATTCTTTGAGGGCTGAGAGATGCTTTCCCTCCTTCAAGGACTTAGGTTGGCCCATTCTTTCGGTTATTCAAATGTGATTGTGGAAGGGGACCATCAGGTTGTATCATCTTGGTTCCCTTATTTAGCTGATGGATCTTGGACTTTAAGACACTTGATCGGGGGGACTCTATCGTGACCAGCAAGAACTGCTATTTCAAGTGGATGCCCAGATCTGCAAACAGCTTAGCTGATTCCTTGGCAATAGATAGGATAACAACATTGGAGCTTGTTTGGAGGTCCCTAGGCCCAGGTTCTAATATGTAATATTTGAAATAAAATTTAGAAGGGCAAGGGATTCAACAACATGGATCATGTTTTTCCAGTCTGCTCTACCCATGGCCTTATTTTTAGTTAAATTAGCTGTGAATTATTTTTGTTAGTACTCAGTACTCGCTACCTAAAATGGAATACTTTCTAGCCTATCCCTTGTCCATTTTGAGCTTTTAACTTGCACCGAGTCACTCATTCTCCCAAGTACCATTGTTGATTGTCTTTTCACATGGCCAACATTTTAATCAACTTGTTTGTATATTTGGCTATTTTCCTTGGTTCGCAACCACCCCCCCCCCCCTCAACCTCCTTTTCTTTGTTTGAATTTATGCCAGTATTGGTTTCATGGATTCTTGCCTTCAATTTTAGATATATATTCATCCTTTTCAAGACATGTTATTCTAATAATCAAATACATGCATGTTGGCATTATTGTTCTATGGATAAAATAAAATTTGCCCCGGCAAGACCCTGCCTTCAGCCCCTCAAGAGGAAGAATAACCAAATTAAAAAGGCCACAATAATGCAAAAATAAGGAAAGCATAAAACTACAATCCTTGCAGCATGTGTCAAACTAAGATCCATAAGCATCTAAATTCAAACATCCCTTCAACAAAGAGAACAAGCTTAACACGACAAAAAAAAATGCACGTTTATCACAATAACCATCATATTCAAGTGATCAGTTTTGCTGAAAACTGGACAATTATTAGAGAGATTCAGGGCTTAGTTTAGCAGGTCAAACTACCAAATTCGCAGAAGGGCAGATAATTCCTACGAAACGAAAGCGAGAAAGCAAGAACGCAACCAACCAGAACTTGAATTCGGGGAGCCGGCGAACGAAAGGACGGAACTCATCGGAACCCCTAGTGGGAAGGGTGGGCCCATCGACAAGCTCTTGAATCTCAGGGTCAACCTGCGGGGAGAGGAAAGCGATGAAGAGGTTGAGGATGTAGATACCGAGTCCATACGACACGATGTAGAAACCTTGGATGAGATAGACCCGGATGATGTAGATGGCGGCGACAACAGAGAACCCGATCCATCGCCTGAGAACGTGCGGGGTCGACTTGTCGAGAAAATGTTGATACCGCCGAGAAATGGCGTTGCTCCACTTTGTCAAAACCGAAGATGGAAAGCTCTTCGATGAAAGATCATCTCCACCGGGACCACCACCGGCTCCGGAATCCATGTTTTCTTAGTCTTCTGCCCGTCTCCCTCGCGTTTCTTCTATAGTTTTTTGTTTTTTTTTTTGTATATTTGTTGGAAACGAAAGAGGCGCAGTGCAGATGATTTACCCGCGAACACACCTCCGTTTCCGCTTTACATGTCTGAAGCTAGAGGTGTAAATCGGGCTGGGCCCCGCGGCACGGCCTGCCAGGCCCGTAACGGGCCGCGCTCGGCCCGTTCGCGGGCCCAACGGCTAGTTTCAGCTTTGGGGGTTTACAAAAATATCCTCCAACAGTTATAAACAACTATATTATGGGGTATTTCTGTATTTTGCTTATGGGGGTTGAAAAAAATGACATAAATGCCCCCCAACAGCTATATAACAACTAGTTTAGAGGGCATTTTGGGTAAAGTTATAACTTTACAATGACCAAAATACCCCTCCCAACAACTAAATAACAGATAGTTTTTTTGGGTATTTTGGGCAATTGAATTATGTTCAATTCCTATAAATAGCCCTATCCGTCACCGTTCTCATCACACCAATTCAACAATTCTCTTAATTCTCTCTCTCTCTCTCATACTCATACATTCTCAATCATCTTCAATCTGAGAAATTCTGATTAACTGATTGTTTGATTATGCATTCTCCAATTCTCAAATCTCAACTTTATCGAAGTTTCAACTTTCAACAAGAAAAAGACTTGCTCAACCAGCTCAAGTATCTCAATTTTGGGAGGCTTGGACATTGAACGACTTCAACCATTGAAATCAAGTTGGGATTTTGTACTAGTAATCCGAGTAAGTCGAATTAGATTAATTTTTATCTTTTTAGAATTAGAAAAAATGGTTGGCCCTTCCCAAAATCGATTCCCCAGCATTCAATCGCATCGCGATAGTATTAGTGTTAGCATTGATGTGTTTGATGTCGATGGAAGTGGAACTCTCACCCCCGGTAGTAGTAATAGTAGTAGTATGGGAAAAAGGAGGTCTTCTAAACTGAATAGTTCAGTTTGGAAAATTTTCAAAGTAGAGGATATTAAGGGAAAGGGGAAAAGGGCCGTTTGCCAAAAATGTATGAAAGACTTTAGTTATTGTAGCAAGGGTGGTACGGGTCATTTGAGCAGACATCTGCTCACACATGAGCGAGAGGAAGATGAAGGGAGAGAAACAACCCAAACAAAGATTGGGAGGGGAACTAGTTTTGGTACTTTTAGATATTCACAAGAAAAAATGAGACAAGAACTTGCTAAGTATATTGTACATGCAAAACAACCATTTATGTTAGCTAAAGATCCAAAGCTAGAAAAATGGTTGCCTAGTTCTGTAAACCCACAATATAAAAAAGTTTATAGGGATACTATAAGAACCGATGCTTTAAAAATTTTTTATTCATATAAACAAAAKTTAATTTCTTTGTTAGCAAATCTTAATTCTAAAGTTGTAATTACTTCGGATGTTTGGACATCCAAATTTAATATTAATTATATTTGTGTAGCCGGCCATTTCATTGATGAAAATTGGCTTTTGAATAAAAGAATTTTAAGTTTTACTAGGCTCGAATGGCCACATAGTGGCCTAGCTATTGCTGCAAGTATTTTAAATACTTTGCATTATTAGTTTTGATAATGTTAGAAAAATGATTCTGCAATAAATATTTTAAAATCTCAATTAAAACTATGCTTAAATGGTAAATTATTTCATATTAGATATGCATGTCACATCTTAAATTTATGTATTCAAGATGCCTTGAATATTATTTCAAATCATATTTCAAAAATTAGAAATTGTATTATATATATAAAAAGTTCAGGGGCAAGAAAACAGGAATTTAAATATTTATGCCAAAATTATGGTTTAAAATATAAACATTTTATATTAGATCTAAAGCATATGTGGAATTCTACTTATGCTATGTTAGAAAGTTGTATATCTCATAAACAATTTCTTTCCGATTTTTATAATTTAAAAATGCCTAATGATATGATATTTGAGGAAGATTAGGAAATGTCAGTCTATATAAGAGATTTTTTAAAACATTTTTATGGTGCAACAAATGAATTATCTGGAATTTATTATCCAACTAGTTGTAATTTACCGTATCAATTAATGGTAATTAGTGATTGTTTTGCCAAATATAGAAATAATCCACAATTTCAATGTATTGTTGAAATTATGGAAAATAAATTTAAAAAATATTGGGAGAACATTTCTCCCATTTATTGTTTAGTTACAATATTAGACCCTATGATTAGGAAAGATGGTTTAGATATTTTATTTGAAACATATTATGAAAATATGAATATTGATATGGGAAATAAAAAAGAAGAAGAAATTAATAATTTATTATTTGAATTGTATAGTTTGTATGAATCTGAAGTTGTAGGAATATTCCTACAACTTGTTAATCTTCTTCTTCTTCTCCTTCTGACTTTGAGCCCAGTAGTAAAAGAGAAAAGCTTTTTTATTTAATAAGTAGAAAGCAAAAATATGCTAGTTCTACAACAAGTTCATTTACTGAACTTAATTTTTATTTGCAAGCATTTTTTCTAATTTAGGTGAAGTATCAAATAATTTTGATATTTTAACCTAGTGGAGTGAACACTCGAAAAGAAGTTGGATAATAGAAGTTGCATGAACGATGACAAAAGAAATTCGAAAAGAAGCCTCCGGTGTCTATAGTTTCATCGAAGTCTTGTTTTAGTGCAGGTACAAGGGTGCTGGATGACAAAAGAAGTTGCATGAACGATGAGAGCATAGAGATGTGCATCTTCTTTAAGGATTGGCTAGATGCAGAAGATAGATTACAATACAAGGGAGGGCATGATACAACACCAGACATTTCACCCGAAGCAGATGATGAAAGTCATGAATGATGATTCATGAATTTGACTACTTGTATAAATTTTCATTTTTTCAAATTATTGTAAAATTTTTAAATTTTATTTTATTTATTTGATATATTTTTTTTAATTTTTTAACAATGTAATTTTGTATTTTCAATTTGTAACCATATTGTATTTTTTATATTTTATTAATTTATTCCATTTTTATATTTCATTCATCCAAGTATGCAATGATCCAATCATTGTATTTGTAATTCACTAATTTGTACCATTCAAATTTAAATGAAATAAAATTCCTATTTTTCTTCCAATTTGTTATTCCATCATTCTTATTTCAATTTGGTTAAGTATTTTTTTCATTTATGTATTAAATAACTTAGATTTCTCATTTCTTAATTTTTAAATAGTTCCTAATTCCCAAAGTTCATAGGAAAGTTAAATATTTTAGTTTTACAATTTTACTTAGAAAAGAAATCAAAATGTTCAAAAAAATAAAAAAAAATAGAAAAAAACAGTGCAGCCTGGTTCAGTTCGGCCTAGGCCCAAGGCCCGCCCTATGGCCCAGCCCAGCACGGCCCAAGCCCACAAAACGCCTGCAACCCAGCCTGGCCTAGGCCCGTGTGCCAACACGGCATGGCATGGGCCCGCTTGGCCAACCCCCAAAATTTCCACCAGGGAGGATGGCATGGCCTGTGGCAGCCCACGGGGCCGGCACGACACGGCCCACTTTACACCTCTATCTGAAGCAGAAGTATATTCCATATCCGTTTTGAGATTTCTATAATCAACGGAAATGGATGCCACATTCAACATTCTTCCATTGTTTTTATTTTATTTTTATTTTTGAAAAATTGTATATTAATACTTTATATTTTGGGCCTAAATCTCACCTTGATCTCTAACTCTAAACTTTAAAATATATTAATTTAGTATAAAACCATTAACCATGGTTAAGTAATATGTAAAATGACACCTTAGGAATGTCATCTAATTTTCTTTATTAACCATCCAAATGTTTAAATCTCTAGAGATAACTAATTTGTCAAAAACCTATGTATAAATAATTTCTTTATCAACCTCCAATTTCTCCCCTTTTCTTGGTGCATAAACAACGTCATGGATACCTTTGAGCCAGAATTCTTCCTACAGAAGCACAAGCATAGAATCCTTGATCGACACTAAGTCAAATTTCATGTCGAGTTTGCATCCTGTGAAGCATAAAACCGCCAATAAAAATGGAACATGTCGGCGTTTTGAATATCTGATAAAGTTAACGTGTTCAGCTGTTAGCTGAAGAAACTCGTTGAAATACCCACAAAAGGACAAAAAAATCTTAAAAGGATTTCATTTGAACTCTCTGAAGCATGCCACCGGCCACTCACCAGTCACCCCACACCAGTGTCCATAAACGTGGAATCCACCGGCGGTAAATATAGAAAAGTTCTCTCTAGTCTTCTCAATGACTCTTCTTCTTCTTCTTTTTCTTCCCATCTTCTTCTTCCTCTTCATTGACATTAAGTATTTATTAATCAAATAAGCAACAAAAACCTGATATTTGGTCTGTGTTGTGGGTTGCTTGCCACCTAATTCAGCCCCTATAATGTCTGTCATACACAATACACATTATGTAACAACGACCACAATGGTCTTCTAAAACTGGTAAACAAGTCAAATACTGGTAGATGGGATATTCATATCATTATATCATGATGGAGATCATTAGAAATGTTATAAAATGAATTGGAAAATGGAGTTCCAAGAAGTCTGAAAGTGTTTCTTCAGGACTTACGAAACTGGTTTTTTTGCGGGAAAGGCCAAAGATAGGGATAATAGATATGGAATAGCTTCTATGGTAGAAAGCAGAAATGGGAGATCATAGGATTGGCAAGAAACAAATAAACATTTTTGTTTGTCTTTGTTGGTTGTAGGTGGTATGAGCACCCTTTCTTGATGTACAACATTATATTATTTTGGTAGGAGGTAGCAGGGATAGGAAATGATCACGAATAGATTTTTGGGTTTCTAGATTAGGGTAAAATTAAAAAAATATATGTCAAGAAATGGCACTTCTCGTCTTCCTTCTCTCGCTTTGTATTTGTGACAGGTTAAGGTCGCCGGCGACAATCATGTTCGTGAACGAAACAACGGAAAACGAAAACCTAGAAGCAAAGCTCTACGGCCATGGTGGACGAGAAACGGAAACCCGAAACAACACCAGACCGGTTATACTGGAGCTCGCCAACATCATCAGCAGCCCGATGTCCCTCAATGCCAGCGTCCAC